TCACTCCCCCGTTTGGTTGCAAGAATTTTTGCCCTCAAATTCGTATTTTTCCCACACGCGAGCTGATGCAGTGTATGCAAACAATGCTTCTCAAACTGCTGCCTCCTTGTAAGTTCCTCAGCTAAAAGCTCCTGCCGTGCCGCCTCCAGTTCCTTGCGGTGCTGCAGCCACTCCTTCTTGAACTGAGCGACATAAAGCAGCTGGTCGTCCACATCACGAATCATGGCATCAATAACGCGGAGTGTTCCCTTTGCGTGCCGGCGCTGCACCTCAAGTCGAACGATACGTTCTGTCTTTGCCTGCTGCTGAAGGGCGCTGCTCTTAGCATTCCCCCGGGACATGATGATCCCCGTATATCAGCTATATCTCTAAAATAAACGTAGCCTTTGGCGTTGCTTTTGATGTCTACTGGGTCCTACCCGTGTTGGGTGGGAGATGGACTGAAGCCCAGCTACTCTTTCTTTCTCTCTTTTTTTTTTTTTTCTTTTTCTTTTTTCCCTCTTCACCGTTTAAAAAAGGAAAAAAGAAAAAAAAAAGCATTATTACACACGCATGTATTCCAACTACGCACAGAGAAAAAGAAAGTGGGTCCACTCCCTCCCTCCATCTCCGTCTCTCTCTCTCTCTCTCTGCTCGTCTCGTATTGGTTCAACGGCGTCAGCTGAATCCATAATATTTTGGCAACTCCAAAAAAAGTGAAAAAAAAAAAAAAAAAAAAAAAAATGGAAAGACGGCGTTATGACACCTCTTCGGAGCCCTAAAGAAAATCCCCCGAAGAGGTCTTACCAGACCGTTCCAATTGCCGTATTTGTTCGTAGAGAGTTCGCTTCCATATATCCCACCTTGCCTGGGTCTCTTGCACGTCTATTGGCCGCGGCTCCCCAACAACCAGCCGGGCATGATGCTTCTGAAACATCGATCGCTGCATCGCCATGAAAGACGCATTTGCTTCATTCTCACGCTTCATCAACACCTTTTGCCGACTCGCCGAAGTTCTGAATGTAAACCCATCATGGGAATATAAATCGGACGCCTTACTCCTTCCCCGTTCACTTTTACCTGCTTCTCTGGCGGTGCCCTGAGGCACGGTACTCAACGGCCCTGCGGTGTGGCGCCCACGCAACAGGTACTGCGGCTCATAAGAACTCACTGAGTTGATCATGGAAAAAGAAACGACAGAAACATCTTGCTGCCTTCCTTCTGTCCCTCCCGTTTCTGGCCGCATAAGCTCTGGACGGGAAGAAATTCCATCGCCTTGCTCCCTCCTCCGTCCACCCTCATTACTCCCGGTACCGCCAGTGGCAGACGGTGAGACAATGTCCTCCTGTTTCTCTACGGACAGCTGGGTAACTGCCCCCTGCATCACCGCCTGGGCAATCTCCTTCCCATGACCACTTGCTTCAGCCCACTCTATTGTATTTCGCCCCATCGCCACTTCGTATGGATCACACCCCTTCTCTAGGAGCAACTGAACGCAACCAACGTGCCCTTGATGGGCCGCCACCATGATGGGTGACACACCCTGATGATTTGGAGTTGTGGGAGTTCCCCCACTATGAATAAGCAGCTGTATCATTTCAAGGTGTCCCTGCTGCGCCGCGATAAAGATGGGCGTAGCACCAGTTTCTCTGCAAGCATTCGGATCGGCGCCAAATTGAAGCAGCAGTCGCGCCACGGCGATGTGGCCGTTCTGCGACGCCAAAAACAGCGCCGTGGCACCACCAGGAGACCTTGCAACGTTCGTATTGACCCCTATTGAACACAAAAAATCCACCACTTCTGTGTGACCAGCCTCCGCGGCCAACCACAGACCAGTGCAGCCATCGCTGGAGGCACTCTCCAAGTCACACCCACGAGAAACATAATCCTTCACCGCCGGTAGATCGCCATGTTGGCAAGCTTCTCTAAATGCAGAGTTCAAAGCAACTTCTCCGTATTTCATTGACGCCATTGCCAACTTTTTTTTGTTTTTGTTTTTGGGTTTGTGTGTATAAAAGTTAGAAAAGACATCAAACAATAAATAAAAGAAAGAGAAAAAAAAATTTCGCACCTAAAGTCCTTCAAACAGAAAGGGGGCATGTGCGTACTTTCCAAGACACAAGAGTAAACAGTAGAGAAAAAAACAAATTCAAGAAACATATAAATATCGCATTTCTTTCTTTGTTTTTTTTTAAGTATGTGGGCTTTGGGGAGAAGACACCTCCAGATCTCATACCCGCCCCCCTTCCCCCCTCCCTCCCTTTTTTTTTTTTTTTCAACTTCATTTCACTTGCCGATCACTTCGTTTCTTTCATTCCCTTTTTTCTTCTTCTCCGCTCCTCTTTTTTCCTGTGACTGTTTTTTTTTGTTGTTGTTGTTTTTTTTTTCCCCTTCGCTATATTCTCCCCCCCCCCCCCAAGACATGTCCCCACGCATCCTTTTCTTTTTTCTTTTTTTTCTTTTTTTTTAAACCAAAAATACCACACGTGCGTATGACTAAAAATAAATAAATAAATAAATAAATATAAATAAATATATGCAGGCTGTGGGGGGCAACCGATCGTTTTATGCAACAAAAAAAAAAAAAAAAAACACTCGCGGTCAAATTCTCATCATCGGCTGCGTTTAAATTCTTTTCTTTTTTGTTTGTTTTCCCTCCCTCCTACTCCTCCTCCTTTTAAGTGAACTCATAACCCCGAAAAGGAGAAAAGAAAAACAAACAAATGACAAGGGCACACACATATATATGTACCCTGAGAGATGCTGCAAGCGTAAAGAACATGCCCTCAAGTAGCAGTGAAGAACGTGGGGAATGAAGAAGAAACATGAAAATTAAAAATAAAAATAAAGGTGAAATATGTGCACGGTTAAACTTCTAAGCCGATATTCCAGTCGCGTAATTACATCCCTCCGTTTTTTTGTTTTTTGTGTTTTTTTGTGTTTTTTTATCCTCACGACCACAAATAACTCCAAATCGCCCACACTCCCTCTTCACTCCCCCTTTTCTGTAAATAATTCATTGCGATGTACAAATGTCAACGTGCCAATTTCCAACTTGCCCCTTTTTTTTTTTTTTCTCCCACCCCACCTCATAAACTGAACTTCGTAGGATATAAAAGTAGCAAGTGAGTGGAGATAAACAGCCACACAAATAGTTTCATCCTCTTTCTCTCCCCCTCCTCCTCCCTTTATCGCAGGCGCAAAACAGGGAGCATCGCCCTCCACCTGCCTTCGCTTATACGAGTAAACACACACGCAAAAACAAAACACACACGCAAATAAACGCGATATATCTCCTAATTTTTTTTTTTTCTTGTCTGCTTCTATAAGGGCTTCCGTTTCTTTTTTTTTTTTTTTTTTTTAATAGTAATAATAATAATAATAATAAACTTACTTTTCTGTCCCTGTTCTTCTCATTACTCACCATTGCTATACATTCCTTACGACAGAAGCGGCTGCTCAACATTGTCAGTGGCACCCAGACTCATTCCACGAGAACGACGCCGCCATCTCTTCTTCGAAGATGGCTGCCATTTACCTTCCGATATTGTGCGGTAGCTAAATATGTCAAATCTCTCCAGTACTTTGCATGCCAGCACCTTTACAATTTCCTGTATAAACCACCAGCCAATGCACCAAATCCATACCCAGAGTGGCAGCAGACGGTGCGCTGTGCCATCACCATGTGAAAGACCAATGACTGTGATGTTGTCCATTTTCCTGTCAGGCCAGAAGGAAGCAACGCAAGAAGAAGTTGCCAGTGAAACGACGGCGCCAAGAAGAAGGACAAGGCTGGGCCTGAACGACCAGAACCAGTTGGGGCCAGTGCGAGAGGAAAAAAGCGTCAAAAAGTCGGAGATGGAAACCTTTAGGTACAACATCGTCACAATCTGGCCTTCTGACACGGGTGGAATACCGAGATTGTAAAACCACGACGAGGTGTCGTGAGAGTCAAGTGCCATCCAAAGCAACAACAAGGACGATACGCACGCCACACCAGCAAGCACAGAAGCAATGGTAAACACAACAGGTAGATTCCACCGTAAAGGACGTTGCTCGGGCACAACATTATCGTATCCAATCGTCATCAAGGTCCCATCATTAAGCAATGTAATAAGCATAAACAACAACACCGGTATGCGAAAGAAACGGAAGTCCGGATCGTCAATGCCGTAGTCCTGGCACGGAAGGGCAAAGACGCCAATGAAAAAAAAGAACACAAGCTGTAGGGTTGCTGAAATACGATAAGTAAGGAAAGATAGCATGCGTTGAAAAACACCACGGGCAATGAGCATCGCGTCCACAACAACACTTAGACCTGGTTCCGTCAACACCATGTCTGATGCAGCTCGTGCGGCGTCAGTGGCACCATCCACAGCAACGCCCACGTCAGAACGTTTCAGTGCGGGGGCGTCATTTACCCCATCCCCTGTCATTGCGACCGTATATCCCCGTTGTCGTAGCGTTTCTACAATCAGGTACTTATGCTCCGGATAAACATGAGCAAAACCTCCGCAAGCCAACATCATGTCACCATGTGAATCACCGAGTGTCGATGGAATGTCCTTTGGATCTCCAGTGGCAGGAAACTTTGGAAGCCCCTCGGCGGTTAAGATATTTGTATCCATATTAAGCATGCGGGCCATCTCCTTCGCAATGAGTTGATGATCGCCAGTGATCATTTTCACATCCACTCCGTATTCTCTGCTGCGGCGAATTGTCTCCTTTGTGTCAGGGCGTGGGGGATCCAGAAAGGTCAGAATGCCTGCCATATGCCATTGCTGGTCCTCCTTGGTGCGTGCAACTGTGAGACAACGGATGCCACGTCGACCCAAGTCCTCAATGATACCCTCCACTTGAGCCTTAATTTCGTCACGATTGTGCACCAGCTGCAGAACAACGTTTGGTGCACCCTTAGTCACTTTGAAAACGAGACCATCAGGACCCCGAAGGGTCGCTTCTGTGCGCTTAATACGTGGGTCAAAAGGAACAAACTCAAGCTGAGTGTACTTGTCACACTCATCCAGGTCAGCCACGCCTAGCACCATCTTATCAAGCGCATCACGTGGCGGTTCACGCCATTTGGCAGCAAGGGCAGCCAAGACGAGTACACTTTCACGGTTGTATTCCTTACTGAAAACATGACATTGTTCCTGAATCTCCATCTTGTTCAGTGTCAAAGTCCCAGTCTTGTCAGAGCAAAGCATATTGACTGCCGCCATCATTTCAATTGAGGAGAGGCGGGTAACAATCACCTTCTTCTTGGACAGCTCCTTTGAGCCCAGTGCGAGAGTTGTCGTGACGACAATTTCAATAGCAATGGGAATAGATACCACAAGCAACACAACGGTAAACTCCAGGGAATCGCGAAAGTTCATCTTGTAATGCCCCATAAGGTAACCAAAGCAAATAATGCACAATCCAAGCGAAAGAGATGTCAAGACAAACATGACACGCACCAGTACGTAGTGAATGTTACCAAGATCGGCTTCAACAGACTGTAAAAGCAACGCCGTCTTACCAAAAAATGTTTTTTGACCCGTAAACTGCACTGTGCCATCCACCTCCCCTCGCACCACAGTGGAGCCCATCTTTGGCATTTGGTCCACCCCCATCGTCACCGGAAGAGACTCGCCCGTTAGCGCCGCCTCATCCACGTCAATTGTTCCTTCATTAATGGTGCAATCGGCGGGTACCGCCGAACCCGCGGCAAGTTTCACCAGATCGCCCGGCACCACAAGCGCTGCATCAATGTTCTGCCACATTCCATCACGCATCACCGTTGCGAGTGGCTTCAATGAGTTGCGAAGTGCCGCGACCGCATCACCGGCTTTGGTGGTTTCGTACCAGCCTATTGTAGCATTAGCAAACTGAATGAAGAGAAGAATACTGCCATCGGTAAAATTCTTGAGAGAAAACTCTATGATAACAGCAATCCAAATGGCCATTGGCATCGGACCCCACAGACAACGTGCAAAAATAAGCCACCCAGGTGTTGTCTTGTGTGGGAGTTCATTGCGTCCATGATGATCAAGAAGCCGATCCGCCTCCGCCGACGCCAGTCCCTTTGATGGTGGCAGCAAAGGAACGTCCTCTTCCTCCTCTTGCTGCATCATATTCGCCAACTCCTTCGACATGCCTAAAATACACAGCCTCCTTTCCCTCTTTACCTACGCTAATTCTGAACAACGTCTTGTTGCCTGTTCTTTTTGCTTTGTTTTTCTGTTTCTCTGTTTCTCTGTTGTTGTTTTGTTTTTGTTTTTTTGTTTTTGTTTTTTTTGGCTTTGCGCAAAGGCAGGTTTCATAAAGAACAAAAGAAAAAAAAAAAAAAAAGAAAAAAAGCAACAACAAAATATATTTATTTATATCCAAAGAATTATGTGTAATACACATACATGTGCACACATGCATAGCCAATTGTGTGTGTGTGTGTGTGTGTGTGTGTGTGTGTGTGTAGATGCCCATATGTACATGCATACATGTGGGTGAGCACGTAGACCAACGAGGAAGAGGGGAATAAACATCGTTACCACAGTAATTCGGCCAATAAAAGACTGGCAACCTTCATTCCAAGCCACCCCTCCTTCTTTTTTCATTTTATTTTTTTTTTCTTGTCTTTTCTTTGCCTTCTCCATATATATATATATATGCGTATATATTTACCGTTTATTTTCCTCACTTTTCAACGTGTACCGTGTACATACGAAAAGAGAGAACGCATATCCGCCAAAGATGTGCAGAGGGGTGACGCGTCACGCCACACCACGCCAAACAGCCCCACACACACACACACACACTCAAAGGAAAAAGAAAACAAGCACACAAAAAAGACGCATGTAGACACGGATTGAATGATGATACAAACACATAAAAAGAAAAAAAAAACGCACATTTTATTACAGGCAGCCATTTTTTTTTTTTTTTTTCTTCCGTCTAAATTATAATGGCAGCAACAACAACAACACATCGCAGAATCCTCTCGCGCCTTCGACAAAAACAAAATAATTACAACCAAATACACACACAAACGCCAAAAAAAAGAAAAAAAAAGAGAAACGGGAAGCAAAAAATAATAATAATAACTGGGGACTCATTCAAATCCCCCGTTGTAAATAAATGCAGGTCTCCTCTCTATTTATCTAAGCATCTAATTGATCCATTGGAAAGATATAGGACAAGGCAGCAGAGTTGAAGGCAACGGTGAAACCACCTCCCTGCCAACACAACCACGGCTGCTGCTGCCTCCACCTCTCTTGTTGTTGTTGTTGTTGTTGTTGTTTTTGTTGCTTTGTTGCCGTTCTTTTTTTTTTTTTTCTTCGTATTACCATCCGTGAATATATTCGTTTTTTTTTTTTTTGTTTTTTGTTTTGTTTTTTTGTTTTTTTGTTTTTGGTTGGTTGGTTGGTCTTCTTTTCTCACCCTCCTGTTCCTCCTTTTTCTCTTCTTCCTCGCTGTTAATTCGCCCTCAAACCTGTCCTCCCGGAAGGGACCTCAACTTCGCCTGAATCTGCGCGGAGAGCGTCGCCAAATCCGTCGCCCGACGCTCCAGTGGCCGCTCGACGTGTGGCAAAGGCGGCCGCGGCGAATCTTTCTTCGCATCCACATCTGGCAAGACCGGTGGCGAGGCCACTGTCGCATCCAAGTTTTCCTTCAAATTGTCGCCGTCATCGTCGTCCTCGCCCTCGCTCTCTTCCTCCTCTTCATTCTCTTCAAGATCCCGTGAGCTACAGCCAGAGGAATAACTGCTGCTGTCATTCTCGTTGGTGTCGTCAACGTCGCGCTCATCCCCCTGCGCGAGTGTCTCGGACCCAAGGGTGCGTATCAACATCTGTCGTAGTTCCAGGATGGAGCGTTGCTGCTCCGTCAGCTGTACGCTGTAGCGCTCCGTTTCCGTCGCCATCCGCCGCCGCTCCTCTGCCCATTTCGCCTCTATTTCACGTTTCTCACGGCGCAACTGTTCCAATTGCTTCTCCAGCGATGCTTTATTTTCAAAAAGTAGGTCAATTTGGCGTCCCTGACGCAACAAGTCACCAAAGAGGGCGGTATTTTTCGAGTATGCGGCCTTTAAAAGGGAGTCGAGCTGCGACACCTGAATCCGGTCGCATTCTCCTCTCATACACGTAACGTCCTTCAGTAAACTCTCCAGACTTGACAACTTTGTCTCCTGCTTTTCAATAAGAAGGGTATATTTCTCCTCGTACTCGTGTAACTGTCTTTGGTACTGCTCCCGGGCGGTTTTTTCCTGCTTCGTCTCCTCCAGGGCACGGTTCTGAATGTCAATGACACGTGTTCGGTTGTCAACCATATCACGTTTCAACTGTCGAATAAATCGTTTATTTTCCTCGTTTCGCGTGGAGAGGGCAACAACTTCAATAATTTTCTTCTGCAGTTCCTGATACGTCTCGGTTTGTTTTTGTGCCATGTCTTCATAGAGAGCCTTTTGATGTTCGTACATCTTTTCGTAACGGTTGCGTTCCCGCTGAAGCTTTTCATACTCGGCAAGAGGAACCATGCGTTCCTCGTGGTGAGCTGCATCTACACACCGCCCCACAGAGACGGTGCCGTCGTGATTTGAATGATGATGGTGGCCGTGATGGTGATGCGATTGTCGTTGCTCTGAGAAACTCAGCGTGCGGGAGGAGGCGTACCTGTGCGGCACCAATGACAGGGAGCGTCGTGGTGTAGGTGACTTCGAAAATGATAGGCGAGCCGTGCCACTGTTTGTCAAGTCAGAAAGAGGAAGCCCCCGATCGGCCTTGGCGCTACAACCTCTTCCAATGCTATTGCTGTCGTATTCTGTAATGTCAACAGCGTGGCCACCGTTTGCAGGCAGACGCTGCGGGGAAAGAATGGCCACCACCGACGGAGCCGAGCTGATGCATCGGGCGGTGGGCTCGTCGACAGAATCCTCTAAATAAATGGCGGTATCGTCGGTGGAGATGCCAAATTGGCGTGGGTCGGCGATATCATCCTTGCGGGCGACTGAGAGTGTTGCCATGTTTCTATCCAAGTGCCTGCCTCCCCCTTGAAATGAAAAGGCGGAAATATATAATAAAAAATAAAATAAAATTGAAGCACTAAAAAAGCGGCCTCATCCCGTCACCGGACACCGACCCCTCAATGTACCCAATAAAACAGGAATGACGGTCAAAAACGCACGCAAAAACACGGAATTTCTTCTTTTTCTTTTTCTTTTTTTTTTTTTTTCTTTTTTTTTCTTCAAGCAAAATCAGAAAAGTTGACAGCTCTGTCTTTCGATGGATTGCCTATTGGACGTGTCGACAACGCCATTATCATTGTCGCAATCACCATCTATCGGCAAAGCTTCCAGAAAATTAGGTGTCAACTCTCTCGCGTACTGTGGCTGTCTCTGGAGCCACAACAGCATGGCTGTGTGGAACACGTCTCGCACACCAAAGCCCGTCTTGGAGCTGCATGTTACCAACGCGTCTGCCTTGATGCTCTTCTGCACAGTGTATGCCTGCTCCCGTGTCACCATTCCCTCCGTGATGCCCCGTTGGTCCGCATCGACCCTCAAGTCAAACTTGGTGCCACAAAGCAGCACATTAAAAGGCCTGTAATGGCCGCCATTTCTTAGAAATGCCACATCCTGTTCCACTCGACGAATCTCGCGGTACCAACGCATCTGCACGTTTGTCAGGCTGTGTGGGTCATCCCACGCAAAGCACAAAATAAATACCGAGACGTCACAGGGCGATGGAGATGAGGGGGGCTTTGGATTGCCGGCGGCAGCACTTGCATTGCCGTCCCCGGCTTGAGCAACAGGTGCCACGGTGCTGGTGTAGCACATGCGACGGAGCTCATCAAATTCCTCCTGTCCAGCGGTATCCCAAAGTCCTAATCGCACGATACGCGAACCGCCAACCCCTTCATTGCTGTCATTGATGGGAAGCAGCAACTCGTAGTTCTCTATGGCTGTCTTTTGATATTCCCGGTACCCCGCCAGGTACTCCAGTCCATTCGCAAAGCTATACTGCAAGCACGTTTTTCCCACCTTGCCGTCCCCAAGCAGAATTACTTTGCAGTGCAGTGTCTCCTCCATTGTGACTGAGCAAAAACCGCACCGCAGGGAGAAAATCGCTGAATAAAGACAAAAACAAAAACAAAACAATATGCGTGGTGCGGCTTTACATAATCCCGTGGTAAAAAAAAAAAAAGAAACAAAAAACAAAACCCCAACAAAAAAGAAAATGGGTGAATATAGGAAACAAAAAAATAAAAAAAAAAAAAAAACATTCACACCCTTTGAAACACCACAAAAAACATGTAAATTAAAAAATAACAGGCATGTAGACTTTGTTTGTTTGTTTGTTTGTTTGTTGTCTTTCTTCCTGTTGTTGTATCCACTCAGTTGACATACGTGTGGTTGTCACCAGTTTGTCCACTCCGGATCTCGCTCTAGCTGCTCCATGTAATGCAGTACGCGTTCCGTGATCTCTGATTCATCGTAACGGTTCCCAAAAAAGTCCACAAATCGCCCCTTTGGATCAAAAAGGAAAATGGCGATGCTGTGGTCAATCAGATAGTCGTTTGTCTCCGCCGCCTCAGCACTGGGCAAGGAGTAGTAAATGCGATACGACTTGCAGGCATCGTTCACTTGTTTCGGCGTCCCCACGAGCCCAACAAAGTCCGGGTGGAAGGCGGAAATATACTCCGCGATGGCCTCCAGCGAATCCCGCCGCGGGTCGCACGAAACGAAAAGCGGGAGAATACGGTCTTTGGGCCGTCGCGCCCGCACAGCATCCACCACTTTTGACATGCGGTTTAACTCCACCGGACAAATCTCCGGGCAGTGCGTGAAGCCAAAGTAAAAAAACGTCCACGAACCCAAAAACTCTGCTTGTGTGACAGGCTCTCCATCTGTCTTCACGAGAACAAAAGGTCCCCCCAGTGCCGGTCGACCGCGCGTCTCGACGTTTACCCGCGCACTGCCCGCTGAGCCAAAGTAACGCTTTTTTGCCTGTCTCGACCCGTACCAAAGAGTGCCGGCGGAGAGGACGGCAAGGGCCGCCAGCATCGAGTACTTTCGCAAGGCTGCCTTGTCCTTCTCAATCTCCTCTTGTTCGGCGTCAACGGCCACCGCGGCCTGAGATCGGAACGGCCGAAACGTGCATTTCATACTCGCCGCCATCAGCGGTCGACGGAAGACGTGACCGGGCAAACGCCCCAGTGCACGTCGCATTTGATGATACAGCACCAAATCAAAAAGAAAAACGTTTCACCCTTTTATTTAGATATAAAAGAAGAAAAAACAAAAAAAAAAAAGTAATTCAAACAGCACCCCAAAAATACATTTATTTATTTATTTATTTATTTATTTATATTCCTGTTCCGTACCATTATAACGGAGAGCATATTTCCACAAGAAGGAAAAGCAGGTCAAATTAAAGAAGAAGGAAAAAAAAAAAAAAAAAGAACATAAGGGAAGAGCAACTATTATTCACATGTAATAGAGAAATGCGTCCTTATATTAGGCTCTTTTCAACCCCCTCCTCGGCAATATGCAAATATTGCCAATAACAATATAAATGTATATAACGAGAGTGAAAGGGATAAAATCTAAGCCATATGATCATCCTTTTCAATCTCTAAAGGGGTTATTGGCTCCTCCTCTGTTTGTTGAGCTACAACAGGGGAAACACGTGTCAAACATGGGGCTGACAATACATCACAGTCAATCAATGGCTCCCGCTTCATCTTGGGGGATTCCGTTTGAGGGTGATCAACCGAACGGTCCCGAATCAAAAGTGACGCCGTGGCACCACTGGCAGTTGAAGCTGGGCGCCCCACGATGGCTTTGAATCGACCTTGGTTAACTCTTTTGAGTGTTTTTGGTCGCGGCGCAACGGTCCCTGCTTTCTCCTTTGCAAGATTCTCCTGCATCTTTTCCAGGCGTTGGCTTCGTTCCTCCCGTATGGCACGGAGCCTCTCCTCAACGGAAGGAAGCTGATAGTGGGGAATGCCTTCATCACTTCCATCCGTGCGACTAGACGAGCTCCTTTGGTGATCATGAAAACTACTTGTTGTGGGTATTGGCCCTGCATCGTCAGTTTCATCGGAACATCCACGCCTTAAATCATGTTCATTCTTGCATGAACCTCTTTCTTCCTTCGGTGTCCGCAGAAGACTCTCATCGTCATTCGCCGTAGTTCCATGTACTTCTGGCCTTTTTTTGCTCGCAATGCGCAGCCTAAACTCCCTACGACTTTTTACATCATTGCGTCTTGCCTCAACCGGCGCAGGGTTTACGGTCATGTTTGGTGCCTGCTTAGGGTCGGGTGTTTTTAAAGGCCTGCACGCGCCACTTTGCTCTGCCGTTTTTGTAGAAGGTGATCCGCCCTGTTCAGGCCGCAGCGGAGAATGGTGTCCGGCGATAGGCTTGGTGGTGCCAAGCATGACAGTTGTACCGGGCAAAAGTTGTCTTACTGTCTTCTCTTCTCCCAAATTCCACCCTAACTGCGTTGCCTTGCGTTCCTCACACTGAAGGGCACCCACACCGGATCCCACCTGGGCAGGATATACGGCCTGGGCTCCACATCCCTCCGCAGGGTTCATTCTCCCCTACAAACTGCAACCCTTTGCACCTTTCAGAGGCGGTTTTGAAAACAGTCAAACAACGTAAATGTGACACAAAACAAAGATCGATAAACACACAAAATAAAAATAAAATGAAATAAATAACAGTATTGACTCGCATTGTCGTGTGAGACAAAACACGACCGTGGTCTGTCACGTCCGCTCCTTCACTCGCACTTGAATGCACACACATTCACTCATATTGTGAACTACGCAGTAGTTTTTTCGCCGCCTCAACCATTTCCGGGGTCACATCCGCCGCCTCAATTCGCCCACGCCGCTCCTCACGTGACAAGTCTGACACCCATTTGTGATCGGCGTTCAGCATCAAGCCGGATGCCTCATCTCGATAAACATATCCCTTTGGGCCATCATACACCGCCTGCGGGGCATTCCGTACGTATTCTGGTGTAAAATCTCGTTTGTAATACCGTTGACGATTAAGTTCAATATTGTCTAAAATCTCATTGGCGTTGTTTGATTGCGCATGATTGATTATAACGACGGCCGAACACGCCAAACAAATAAGAGTGCCACGCCACTCCATCCAAATTGTACGGAAAATCCCCCGCTCGCCGTACCGTGCAAGCAACTCAGCATCTCCAATACCCAACCACCATGCCTTAACTCGAGTAAAGGGGCTGATGAAACGCCTCCGTCCTATCGAAGCCATTCTTTAAAAAGTCATATAAAAAAGGAAGATGTAACCTACAAAACAAAACAAAAGCAAAATAATAATAATAATAATAATAATGTGTGCTGGCGGCATTTCCCACCACACTCTCAGAAATCAAACCGCAACCGTTTCATGTGGAGAATCTTTCTTTTTTTTTTTTTTTTTTTTTTTTCCTCCTCCTCATACACACGCCAATATGTAAGTCCCTATATATATATGCAAACAGTCATTGGATATATAATTATATATAATTAATTAATCCTTCCTGGAGCCCCCCCCCCCCCTCCCCCACAGAGACACACACACACACACACAAGTAGGACTACACACAGACAATCATGCAGCCGGCCTCTCAATTGGGGCATTCAACGCAGAGTTTCTTCCCCGTCTTTCTTTTTTTTTTTTTTTTTATAAAAGGAGTGGATCACACTCACAAAAAAAAAAAAAAGAAAAAAAGACCGGAAAGAAACGGCAAACAAACACCCCTCACCTTCAAGTGGAACAGTAATAGTAATAATGACCAAAAAAAATAAAAATAAAAATAAAAATAAAAAAGGACTGTACCAACACCAATCTCCTGCAAAAAAAAAAATAAATAAAATAAATAACAGGAATAAAAATAACGAAAATTTAAATAAATAAAATAATAAAAAAAAGAGGGGGAAAAGGGGGTTTTATTGCTATTCACAGTCTTCTTCGTTCGGTCGCTCTTTATTATTATGATTATTATTTTACTTTTGTTTCACTCACAACATCTCAGTTCGAATTTTGTAATTATAAAATATAAGATGAAGCCCAAATTTGCACTGCCTTTTTTGTTGTTGTTGTTGTTGTTTTTTCTTCTTCTTTGGAATCCCCTCCCTTTTCCTTTTTTTTTTTCTTTTTTTTTCTTCTTCCCAAACTATCGTTTTTCTCATATTTCTCCCTATTCTTCTTCTTCTTCTTCTTCTTTTTTGTTGTTGACCGCCGATGCCTCCACCAATAGAATAAAAAATAAAAAGATAAAAAATAAAAAAATTTGCATTTAAAGTTTACTGGTTGACTGCTTCTGCTCACTCTTCTGGAATGAAAGGCATAAATTTACTTCTTCTCTACTCCCCATGTAGACAGCCACACGCTGGTGAGGTTTCTTTGGCATAACATCAAGCACACGTCCTTTGCCTGTAGACGCTTTACCGCCAGCCTGCTCTACAAGCATTGCCAATGGGGCAGCTTCATACAAGAGTCGTATCTTCCCCTCTGGTCGTTTAAGATCGCTGGGATAACAAAAAATACCGCCATAAAGTAATGTTCGATGAACATCTGCAACCATTGAACCTATATAACGTGCAGTGTATAACTTAGATCCTGCCTTCACGTGATTCATATACTTCTGAAACCATGGCTCCCAATTACAAAAGTTTCCTTCATTAACACTGTATATAGCACGGGACGCTGGAAGTGTAATATGTGGATGTGTATGAATGAATTCACCAATAGTAGGGTCCAAGGTGAATCCATCCACACCGTGTCCGGTAGTTAATACCAGATTTGTAGCCGTGCCGTACATGGCGTATCCAGCCGATACAAGACATTTTCCTGAGAGTTTCTTTAAGACTTCGTTGGCTTCCTCCATAGTCGTGATTTTCTTCTCATCCGAAATACGCCAGATGCCCCAAATAGAACCAACGGATATGTTTGCATCAATATTGCTGCTTCCATCAAGTGGGTCAAAAAAAACAATGTAATGTCCCTGACGTTCTCCTTCTACCAATACAAGAGACTCTTCTTCCTCACTACCTAAAAAAGAAACACTGGATGAAGAGATAAGGTATGCCTTAAAGGCATTGTTTGCTATTACATCTAGCCTTGCTTGGGTATCTCCTGTCGCATTGGAGGAATGATCGCTAAGATATCCAAAAAGGCCCTGCATTCCTGCAGAACGAATATGTTTTTCAATCACTTTTACTGCAGTCTGAATAGCCGTCATGAGTAGAGTAAACTCCCCCCGGCTGCTGCGAGGTTGACTGTGCATAAGAAATTGCACAAGAGTTGCCGGAATATTGGCTCTTGGCTCCATTTTTTTAAGTCGCTTACGCAATTCACCTTAAACAAAGGGATAAGAAGGGGAAGGGACAAGAGAAAAAAAAAAAAAAAAAGAAAGAAAGAAATAAACAAACGGAAATAAATTAAAAAAAAAGAAGAAACAAAAATAAAAAAATAAAATTAGAACGTTACCAAAAGTTCATTTTGTTATTAATGAACGAAACTTAATACATAAAATATTGTCAAATCATTCAATGAAGTCCAAACGCTTCGTGTGCGTTTCTCAATAAAGAGAAATAAAACACTCCGTATGTATGTGTGTGTAGTGTGTAATATGTAAGATGTAATATGTGGAGTAATGGGCAGGAGTGTGTAATATATATGCGCACATGTGCTTCAATAATTGTCTCTTATTGCTCGCTAACTCTAAATAGCTCAAGGAGATGGTGAGAGAGGGGGAGGGTTAAAGAGGGGAGAGAAGGGAAGGGAAGGAAAAGGGAAGGAAAAGGGAGGAGTGTGTCGTACAAGTGTCAAACAAACAAACAAAAAAGATGAGAGAAGGGGGGGGGGAAAAACAAAAAGAAAACATTTAACACTTGTGTGCAATTATGTTTGATTGACATTTGGGGCCAGGGCAAAAAACCAAAAAAAAAAAAAAAAACCCGAAAAAAAAAAAAAAAAAAAAAAAAAAACAAGAAGAAGAAGAAGAAGGAAAAAAAAAAAAAACACTCCGCATGTGTTAACTCTCAAAATTATTTATTTATTCCTTTTTTTTTTCCATTTTTTTTCAATTCGGCTCTAAATTGCAGTAAATCGCTTTGAATTCCCCTCGTCAATGACTTTTTTTCTTTTCCTTTTTTAATTTAAATGTTTCTCTTCTCTGCAACACAACACAACACGCACAGCGACTTCCCCTCCCCCCTTCTTTTCCTTTTACTTTTTTTCCTGTCATTTGTGCGGAGGATGTTTCTTGCATTATTATTTTCCTTTTTTTCCTTTTCTTTTCTCTTTGTTTGATATATAAATAAATAAATAAATAAATAAATTTATATTTATATTTATATATATGTGTATGTAAGCATGCATATGTGTATTTATACTCCCCCCTCTCGTTTTTCTTCTCGTCTCTCGCTCTCCCTCTTCCATTTCGGTTTTCTCTCACTTTTACTCCGTTCTTTCCTTTTTTTTTTCTCTCTTTTTTCTCTTCGCCCCCCTCCCCCCCTTTTCTTCTCTTCTCTTCACTTCTCTCTTTTTTTTTGTTTTGTTTGTTTTACTCCTTTCTTTTCGAGCAAATGAACCTAAAATTCCTCTTTTCTTTTCTTTTTTAAATCCCTCTTGACGCATCCTTTTTTTTTTCTTCTTTTTTTTTTCTTCTTTTTTTTTTCTTCTTTTTTTGTTTTTTTTTCTCCCTGTTCACACCGATCTCAATTATTCCCCTCTCGTCTTTCGTTCCTGTTTTATTTTTTTTGTTTTTTGTTTTTTTTGTGTTTTTGTGTTTTTGTTTGTTTTTTGTTTTTGTTTTTTTCTCCCCATTCCTTGGAGCCGTTGCCACTGCCAAAGAATGCGTCCTTTTCTTTTTTTCTTCTTTTTTTTTCTTTTTTCATCTGCAAAGTGTCTTTAATTGCCTCCTGCGCGTTGGCTACTTACTTACTTTTAGGTGCACGTGCGTGTTACTCCCCATTTTAGCTCCACTGCTGTGGGATAACAGGATACATGTTTCCTCCCTGCACCTGCTGCTGTTGTGGGGACGGGTGCGGCTGTTGCTGCGGCGCTGGTGGCGGTGGCGGTGGCGGTGGTGCCATCGGCGGCTGCGGTGGTTGCGGAGGCTGGGGAACACCGTCCTCGTTAATCACCAGCGATATGGCAGGATTGCTAGTCTTGATGTCATCCATGCGTGAAAATTGAATGTCAAGCGTAAACGTGACCGTGTCGCCAATTGTCACAGGCTGGCCTTGCAGGATACTTTTCACGTTTTCTGCAGTCACCTTGCTGTCAAACTGCACCAAGGCTTGAACACGGTTATGATTGCGCTGACTGGACTCATTCTTGGGCAAAACCACAATTTTCTGCACGCTACCGTAATTACCAAATATTTGGTAAACAATCATGGGTGTAATCTGCGCTGCCGCAGAAACATCATACTGGGTATTAAACATGGAAACCAGTAGCGTTTTGCTTGTGTGTTGAGTGGCAGTAAGCTCCTGATGATTGCTGTAGCGAATGTACACACGTCTTCCATCAATTTCGGCATATCCTGTTTGACGGAAAAAGTCCACCAACTGCTGTGCGCTCTTAGTGGACTCCATCTCTACAAGTGCCTGGTTCATCTGCCGAAGCATAACAATGTGTTTAATATTTCCAAAGTTCTGAACAAGATTCTGAATGCTCAGCTGCGTCACGTTGGGGGTAATGTTGCGCATATGAATAACACGGCTCACCTCGCCAATTTCGTTATTGCGCTGACGCGGAGGTTGGCGTTGTCCCATATTCCGGTTGGCTTGTGAGGCATCGTATCCACCACGATTAGGGTTGTTATTGTAGTTTGACAGCATGCCAGGAGCTGTTCCCTGGGGAGATATCGGTGGTTGCATCACACCGTGGTATGACATCATGTTAGGGGTGCCATAAAGGCTGTTTTGTGGAAACTGCTGACCGTACATCCACACGAAAATAATAATAATAAAAAATAAAAAAAATACCGGCTGTGCGGCGAAAACCAAAAAAAAAAAAGAAAAAAAAAACCAAAAAAAAAAAAAAAAAGAAAGAAAAAATTGAAAGAAAAAAAAGAAAGAAAGAAAGAAAGAAAAAAGCCTTTTTTTCGTGCGTAAATTTATTGGGTGTGTAGATTATTATTTGCTTGAAATCGGATTGCTTCCCAGATGAACGCTGTTGATGACAACACCGCTTTTCGTGGGTCCCTTTGCCGCGTAAGCCCTTAACTGATGAGATAGAGAGAGAGAAAGAGAGAGAGAGTGGAAGGGAATAACAGTAAAGAAAAGGTAAAAAAAGAAGGCCAAATATCAAAAAAAATAAAATAAAATAAATAAAATCACATGTCAATACCCCCGTTCAACATCCAAAAAAAAAAATAAATAAATAAATAAAACAACAATTCACGATAAATAACAACAATCATCATCATCATCATCATGAGAATAAGAGAAAGCAAGCATCCCTCTGTTTTTTTGTTGTTGTTGTTGTTGTTGCTTTTTTTGTTTTGTTTTTTGTTTCATATTGCAGGCAAATACACAAGGGAAACACGTAGAGACCCAGACAGAATTCAATCCATACACTGTTCTCTCTTTCTCCTCTCTCCTCTTTTCCCTTGCCTTTTATCATTTCCTGCACATTCAATTCTATCAATCTATAAGAGGGCTCTTTGAAGCTCCGCAAGACGCCTGGATGTATGCAGCGCAAGTGTGTCCCGTCGTCTGCTCTCTCTACCAGATGAAGGAACTTTTGTACTGTTGCGTTTGGGTGCCATCGTTGTCTCCGTTTTGTTCGCCTTGGTTGCCGTTGTTGTTGGTACTTTCCCCTCCGTTGACAATGAACGGTGGTGTGGCTCAGAGGCATGCAAAATACTCTTACTACTGCTATTCGCGCGCCGTGTCTTTGTCTTGGCCGTACTTGGCATGTACATGGAAAGTCGCTCCGGTACTGGTTCTGGCGACGACGCTACCCTCATCCGAGTCCTGGGGGGAGTCACACTCTTCCTGGGCGTCAGCTTCATGCTCGACGACTCAGCCGCCTTGTAGAGCTGAGCCAAATCCATCATCTGCCTTGAAGACGAACCGCTCGTGCGGGGCTGCAAAGAATTCCCTCTCCTGTCCACGGATGATGATTGGGCATGGTTAACAGAGACAGGATCTGTCGCGCGCGAGAGAAAAGCTGACGTGTGCGAGGGAACAACCTTTGCTTCCGTGGTGGCAGCATTAACAGCAATCGAGTCCCCATGAAGAATTTCCTCCGTGTGGGACTGAAATATATGCCTCGTGGCCTCTTGTTTTGGAACGGAAGGAGGTGGCGGTGGGTCAAAACCCAGCAGAGAATCACTCTCAGTCTCAATATTTTCATTTGTGAAGACAAAGCGGCAAGGCGGGGATGTCTTCCGTGTCGCCCCCTCGTCAACACACACGGTGCTGCCACCCTCCACGGTTGGAGAAATGAAGACTCGCTGACTGGGAATTCTTTCCAACTCGGACGGGGCATGCCACTTTTCGGCGCCCTCCCTCTTTTGTTCTTCCCCATACGGGATTTTCACTGAGGTGGTGTTCATTGTTGAAAGCTGCTGCTCGAGAGCAGCGGTTCGCCGACGCATCGCATCCACCATCAAAGAACCCTCAACAGCAGACATATGCGCGTTACCCAAGGAAGTGTGCCTATGTAAAAGTTCCCGTGACTCCTGAATGGCTCGTTCCATATCAGCGGCTGTGGCATTAACACGTAATAGTTCTGCGTTTATTTGGTAAAGACTTGACAAGCTACGATTGATGCTCATAGCCGAGGAAGGGTCTGGAACAATATTCGTCATAACATTGCGATTATCATGAATCATCTGAGACGCCGGTGCTGTTGGTGCTTCTGCTGCGGCCTGTTCGGTTGCTGGTGGTATTGGAGATGGGGAGGGTGCCGTCGCCATCGTGGTCGCGTCGTCCGTCTTTTTCAGACCCACACCAACTTGGACGCCAGAAGACATGGTTGCAACTTCACCTTTAGTCGCAGAGGTCGTATTAGCACCCTGCCAAGGAACAGCCAGAGGAACTGTTGGCTGTGAAATCGGACGAGCGTTTTCACCACCCGCGACAGTGCGTGTGGAAGCATATGTTTGGGCCTCTTTGCTCACTGGAGAAGCGACAAGACGCTCAGCCCGCGCATGAAGCTCCAGTAGATCCTGGTTCATCATCAAGAGCTTGTCCTTTTGTTGAATCGTGTGGCGCACCAACGCCGCCTGCTCCATGGCGCTCAATCCCTGTGTTGGTTGAACTGCAGAATGGGAATTCACCTCGGGGTGTGTGGGCCTCTGTATGCTTGTTCGAATCGTCTCGATGACGTCATGGAAATGTTTCGCCTGCCGTTCCTCGTGCTTCGCGAGTAGTTCCTTCACAACCTCAAGGGTATCATACTCTTGTCGCAGCTCGGGAGCTTCTCGAGAGACTCCCAAAGGTTTGATGGGCGTTGCTGACGCAGGCGAAGACTCTCTAACCTTGGGTGGCGGTACAGGCACGGGGACGGCGCCAGTCCCTGTGGCCTTCAGCTCATCCACATACTTTTGAAACGCAACCTTTTCTGAGGGTGACAGAACAGGTTCCTTCAGTGGAGTCACTGAACGAACTTTCCCTTCGGCAGGTGTGGCAACAGGTTGGGATATTGTCGGTGGCAACGGCACTTCTGGCTTTAATGACTCCCTCACCACCTCTTCCTCCCTCCTTATGGGAACGGATGCGGCACCACCACTCCGCATGAGCCCAGTGTGTTTCTCGTCAGAAGAAGACGGTGGCATCGTTTCATAAGAAATAGACGTTAACAATGGGGCAGTGACATTAATGGGAACTTTCTGCTGCACTGTGGACGGAACGGGAGTGACGGGGACATTGAGGATAGTAGAACTGATGGGACCTAATGCCTCGTCAGTGTCTACAACACGAAGATCTTCTTCTTGTGCTCGATTAGCCTCCATGGCCCGGGGAGCCGATTCCTGTGAAGTTGCATGTGCATTTGCTGGAACCTTGAGCGTCAGCAAAGAAGAGGGACTGATAAACACAGAACTTGGCGGCAAGCCTGGTGGCGTCAAAGTTTGCAAGGGAAGGAGTTGCCCCGCAAGAAATCCAGGTGATCGGGCCGTTAGCACATTCTTACCGCCGGCGCCATTTCCCTCACCCTCAGCTTCGTTCTTTTCAGCTCCGATCCACGCGAACAAATTCACACGAGGCATGTGTGGCTTTCCCCGCAGAGAGAGCAGCTGAGGCGGTGTCAAGTCGTCTTTACCTTTTGGAATCCCTGGTTCTACAAGTTTTATCCTTTCCTCTGTGGCCATGCTTAATGGCAACTCTGGGGGTCGAAGTACATTTTTAAATTGCAGGAGTTTAAAATTCATCAACGCCTTTTCTTTGGGTGCAGCCGATGAAATAACGTGGGATGACTCCCGCCCCAAACGTGTATGTCCATGACAAGACCGACTCCCAGAACGATACTTTTCCTTCATATGAATCCCATTTAATCGATGTTTGGCACAGCGGTAGTGATGCACGTTATGTCTTTTGCAGCGGTTTGGTGAAAAACTCATTGAACGAGTGCTTTTTTCAAATTCTCCGGGATAATGCATCTCAATTTCACTAGTCGCCGTTGTGTACGACGTAGCAGTTGTGGTAATCTCAATGTTTATATCCTTCAGTGTCTCCTGAATGGCGCTCTGCCGTCTAGCAGCTTCATCGAACGTGTCTTCAGTTTCCCACCACGCAACCCTTTCTGGTGGGAAAAGCGCATTGGCCGCTGCGGCTGCGGCTGCGGCACCAAGACTACCGCCGCTAACTGAAAATCGTGGAGGGGAACGCGCAACTCGTGCCGGTGAGGAAGACAAAGCCGATGAACTAGTTGTCAAGGCATCATCGTTCCCTGAAACATGTGGAGAATTCGTGGCCAGTGGCCTCAATTCAGGTGAGGTTTTCCAACGTGCTGTTGACGGCGCGACAGGAACAGAAGCAGAATCAACACTGGAGGGAAACCTGCCATCTCTGCCGACATGAATTTCCTGAGAAAGAGTTGGCACAGACCTCTTCGCCACCGCCCCTGTCGTTTCAGAAGGCGCTATCAAAGCATGGTTCCGCACAGGCGGAGAGAGCGTGCAGAGTTGGTGGAATAGTGCATGAGAGAACTGCGGCGAGGAATATCCCTCTTTCGGGCAATCCGTGGTGTCACAGCCGTGAATACGCTCCTGGGTGCGGGCGAGACATTCCTCAAGAAACTGAGGCACAAATTCAATTGGCCACATTGTGTCCGGCCACTCAGTGTTGATCAAGTACCGACGGTTGGGCAGCTTGTGATCGCCCGGCCATTCGGGTACATCCGCGCCACCACCCTTTGACCAAAGAAAGTACTGGATGGACTTCTTGGTCGTGGGGGAAGCCCCCTTCTTCCTCTCCCTCATCTGCACCCGCAACTCGGCGAACGGCGCACCAGCGCCACCGTTGCCATTCGCTTCTGCCACCTCCATGAGGCGATCCAGGACGGTGTAGTAATACTGCTTAAGTGGTGTAATGACAGTCAAAGAGGCCTCTGACTGTTGAAGCACCTCCTGCATAAAACCAGCCAGGCCTGGAGTAGCGGCGCACATGGGCACTGACATCGCCGCGAGATCTACACACCGCCACTGGAGAGACTCAACCGGCAGCGCGGTCCCGTTAAGATTGTCAATGGCTTGAAGCAGCACAGAAGCCACACGAGCAAGAATCGAGGCGTCACCCGTCGCCTGTTTTGTCAGCTCCGTGATTTCCTCCTCCGTATGTTGCGAGTATCCAATTAAAGCCAATAAACGAAAGCACAGAACACAAGTGCGGAAAACGACGGAATCATTGGATATCGTTTTTCCTTTGTGCTTTTCGTTCTGCACGGCAGCGTTAGAGGTGAGCACGTTACTCGCGATATCCTCCAATTTGTACGGCAGCCATGGAGCAACACAAGCCCAAAGATGTTCCAGACGATCCAACATGATCCTCAACCTCTTTCGGCACGTTTCCACCGACGCGTCCTCTTGCAACGGGTTCTTCAATCCCTCCTTCATAAGCACCTTGATCACACTCGCTGAATAGTTGTTTTGGGAGGCAATTAGTCGGTCTGTCATCGCGTGAATTACAGCAGCAACAATGACGGCTTGTGTATCTTTACTTAGAATGCCCTCTATGTAACGCCAAAGTTCTGTATTGAAGTAATCATTACGCAATGAACCACCACAGAGAACACAAAGAATGTCTGACGGTGCAGGTTCGGAGAGGATATTTTCAAAGAGTGTGGCCTCTGTAAGAAAAACTGCCGCTGAGCACTCCGTGAGAAGCTGGGCATTGTTGCAAATAGACCCAAGTGGCATCAAACACTCCGTTAAAGGAGCAGTAAAAATCTGCAAAAATGCAGAAACAACATGATATCGCCTTGACTGCAGCATTGAAAGCAACGCCGTAGGATACACCGTTGCGTGTGTATCTGGGGATGTGACACAAAGAAGATCCGTCGAAAGTGTCATTGCGTATTCAAACTCTGCACGATCCTTGAATGGGTACGGTGGCAGAAAAAGCGATTTCTCTCCCACTTGTTTCATTTGACAGAACATTCTTCCCTCATTATCTTCGTTGATGTACACTGGTACCTCCAAACAGGAGGCCAATAGAGCAGTAGCGATGGTGTGGATGACATGAGAAAGTCGGTTCCCCACAGAAACCACGTGTGTCCCGTTGGTTAAAGCGGAGATCACAACCATGCGGCGTACGCATTCCTCCGCAAGAATAATAAGTGAAACACGCTCTGCCAAACTATCAAGCACAAAAGAGATATCATCGTCCTGTTCTTGTACAAACTTTTTCCACGTACATTTTAATTCGTCCGACACGACACTTAGAAGGGCCTCATCTGCTTGCTCTTGTTCAGCCAAAGTCCCTTGAAAACGAACGTAATTATCCGCTAACTGGACAAAGAACATGTCGGTGTAGACCACGGAGTGGTCAAGGTCCCGCCTTGAAAGGGTTCTTTGTAACAACATGGTGAGTCCCCAAAGATTCCTCCAATCCGAAGCAGATTTGGGGGCGGCAGCACTTAGAAGAGCTTGAAACACCCGCTGAGCCAAGAACACTTCTCGTTGACACGACCCGGCAAGTCGCAACAACGGCAGAACCCGCTGAAATACAAGCTGGAAAAGTTCTGTTTGGCTCAAATTCGAATTCTTCTCAATGTGTGAAAGGCTTTTCACGAGAGTCACAATCCGTCTCTCTGGCATCGCATCATCGATGGTTGAGGGGAGAAAACCTTCGCACGGCATGTCCCCATCGATATCAAGAGCTGTCACCCGCAGCACCACAGCCAAAAGTCCGTTGGAACAAAGAAGCTCATTTTCACCAACTCGCACAAGACGTGTGGAATCTGTAAAACTTTCTACCGTTTGTTCGTCACCAAAACAACTTTTGGCCGGAGGAATAAAACGAACCATGTTGCTTCCGTCTCCCACCTCCACGTTTATGGCCTTTCCAAATGCCTCTGCGGCATAAAGACGGTAGTCTTGGGAAAGTACAAGAACAATTTGTAAGCCCCCCTCTGGCCGTAAGGGGTGCTGCAGCCTCAGCCACACCACGCTGTTTGGAGGACTCTGTAACCCCAGTTTGGTACACCCACTTACCAGCTCCATATTAAACGGAGATCGCCTCAAGTGCACCAAGTAACTCTGCGAAGCTAGAGAGACAACAACGGCGTACCGCTGCAGCTCGCTATCAGCGTATATGCGACAGAGAGGGGTAACACATACACCTCCCTCTCCTTCAGGCAGAAGGAAAAGTTGACTTTGATAACAAACACGAATCGTTGGGTCGCCGTCATCTAAAGAAAAAATAGCCTCATGAAGCATAACGCAGTATTGTAATCCTGCTGGTCGTGATGACACGTAGCTCTTCTTTTCGTTGTCGTCGGAGACCACATTCGTTGCCTCAAAGACTGACAATGCCAACTCTATTGTTGGGGACGTTACCGCAATCGCGTGGTCGATTGGTGGACCTACCGCACAGCTCAGAACAGAAACAACGCGATCACTTTGAATACACAAGGAGGCGGGCATTCCAAATGCAGCATCTAACCCGAAACACCTCCATTTGTTTTCCCAAACGGACCCAATCACAATGTATAGTTCCCCAGTACGTGTGGACACCACGAGACTCACCACCAGCCCTGAATCCGTCTGTTTCAGGCCTGAGCAGCAAATCTGCAATTGCGCAGTTGTTTCCTTACCTTTTTTTTCGCGTGACACCAAGGCCGCGAGAACGGCATCCAGTTTGTCGCTACAATCCACAGGTTCCCCGGCTAGGCGTGTCGCGCTGGACAAGCTGAGCTGCACAATGGCTAGACCCAAGCGTCTTCCTTTATCATGATGGAAAAACAACGCGGCAAAAAGACCATCAGTCGCCGTGTCAATAATACGGGTCGTGTACTTTCCCGCTCCTCGAAGTGTTGTAATTCCTTTTCGCTCACGCCACACTCGAAGCTTATTCTTCTTTTCGTCCAGAAATACCGCGGCGACTTCGTCTTCCTTTCCCCTTACCGGACCGTAGCGGCGACAAGCCAATACCCGAGCGTATCCAGGCTGCTTACCGTGGCCCAAACAGAGCTCTGTGTATGACGTAAAAGCGATGCCACTCATGGGTCCACCTTTCACGCTATTTACACATACACAGAAGAAAAAATAATAATAAAAGATGAATACGAAAAATAAGAGATCATGAATTTTTATTATCATGGCAAAAAAAAAAAATGAATGCGACGTAAGAGCGTCTCTCCCACATTAAAAAAAAAAAAAAAAAAAATGAGATTTCCCGTTGTTATTGTTGGTGGTGTTCCCAGCCGTTTTATACGGTTGTGCTCCTAAAATCACGTTCGCACAAGATCACAGCGACTTCTTCTTCTCCCTCAGCCACAAGATCATATCTTCCCGAGACGCTTGTGGATGAAACATCGCATACTTTCGAAGCGCCAACAGGGCAGGCCCAATTTGTGGAAGATCAAGAGGGATCAGCTTGGAGAGCTCGTCACCTTTTAGTGGTAGCGAACGAGTCATGGAATCAAGTAATCCCGGCTCCCGTTCCAAGACGGACCACATTTCGCTAATGATGCTTGCCACTGCATTCACTTCGGCAGATTCCAAAAGTTCCCTTCGGTGCTCAAGAAGCAGATAGGACGAAAGAACAATTTTCAACGCAGCCGGAATCATTTTCTTTTCGTTCAAGTCGCCCAACCCCTCGAACACAGCGAGCTTCGCCGCATCCGTTACTCCCGGATCGGTGATGCCACACAAATCCAGCCGATGCCGGGTAAGAGTTTTGTAACATTCAACCATGCGCCGCAAGACATTATAAGAGGCAAGTGGCAACTTCAACCCGTTCAGACAAAACGCGTAGAGGCGTTCTGTCAGTTGCTCACGAGGACTGCTGCGATAGAATGGCAAGCACAACATAAAAAGCACAGCCACCAACTTGTCTGATGGTGACGACAAAAGCAATGGAGAGTCAGTTTTCGAAAATAGGGGCGTCAGTGTGCGGTTGAGGGCTACGATGCACTTAAGGGTGTCATCATTTGTATCGATACCGGAAAACAAGTAATCCATTCTCTCTACCTCTCCGGTGTTTTTGCCTTTCTTGCCACTCTTCATGTAAAACTCTATCAGCAACACGTGCTGTAAAATACCCAGTTCTAAAAGAAGTTCAACACATTTTTCAGGAGATGGACCTGACAACATCTTTACTAGCTCCTTCCCAATACGTTCCCGTGACACCTTCACCGTCATCTTCTCGAGAAGATCCTTGTTTACACAACACATGATAGAATCATCAAGAGAGAAACCCAGTTCGCCCAATTGGCCCACAAAACGAATTCCGCGCAATAAACGTAACGGATCGTCTGTAAATGTCTCCCTCGGTTCTAATGGGCAGCGTAGAACACGTCGCTGCAAATCCTCTAGACCCGACGTATAGTCCTCCACCTCCATTGTATGCAAGTTGTAAAAAAGTGCATTGATGGTAAAATCACGACGCAAGGCGTCTTCTAGCGGGGTGGCAGGTCGAACCTCTGGAATACGTGAATTTGACCTCGTGTATTCATCATGACGCAATGCACAAAACTCAATAGGAGTGTCACACACACATACTGTCGCTGTCTCAATATGCTTGGACAACTCTGGATTGACTCGGATGACACTCACTGTTCTTGCGGCCATGCCCATCGCCTCCTGATATGCCGAGACCTCACGAGCAAAAAGTTCACCGGAAACATGCCTCAAATCGGAAGATTCTATGGCAATGTCAATGTCCTGTGAGTGAAGGCCAAGCAGGGCATCCCTCACCCACCCACCAGCAACCCGAAGTGTCGCAAAAATACGGCGCTCCTCATTGACGCGAAGAAGAAAGGCAAATATATTACTGTGTGCCGCCACTATCGGCCTATCCAACTTCACCCTCTTCGGTGAAAACATCAACTTGGAACGCACGTGAGGCAGGGCCAGAAAAATATATATACATATATAGTCCACAAATCACAGAAAGATGCACACGACATGTAAAAAACAAGTAAGGGAAAAAAGAAAAAAAAAAAAGGATGAGATTCAATGACCTTTCACATGTGTAAACACACAAACATAAACACACAAAAAAAAAAAAAAATGTGTGAATGTTACAAAAAAAGTGTATGTTCTTTTTTTTTTTCTTTTCTTCTGTTTTCCCCTTGGTTCAGTTGGGTCCAATCTTCACATCTTGCTGGCTTACATCAGCTGCTGCTGCTGCGGCGGCGGCGGCGGTAGCATTTGCTCGGAGAAGGTCACGCAGTTTCAATCGCCATTCTACATCGATTTTGGTATTGTCTATCCCGAGCTCACACACTCGGGGATTGTCTTCCAGAAGCCGCTGAAGGTGGGCGGCAGCACCCTCACTGATATAGTTGTCGGAGACGTCGATACGTCGAAGAGAGGGGTGCCTCACGGCCGAGTTGCACAGCGCTGCAATGGCATTGTTGCGTAAGCCGTTTTCGCTGAGACTGATCTCCCGCAGATTGTTGCATCTATCCACAACAGCCAGCAGGGGAATGACCCCCTTGTCTCCCAAATAGTTACGGCTGACATCAATGAACTCGACGCTGGCAGATTCCTGGTACATGGAAAGAAGATCAATCAGGCCGCTATTCGGAGCCAGGCCTAACTCCGCACAAGCCCGGATATACAATTCGCGCGGTGCAACGTGTCGGATGCGGACCGACTTACCGGCTTTCTTTCCGGTCGGCTTTACTGGGCGAGGGGGCATGGTCACCCGCTTACTATTACAAAACCGTGGGCACAGAAGCATCGTGCAGAGAGAAAGAGAGACAGTTCCAGGCATATTCGGAGAAAACAAAAACAAAACAAAAGACAACGGCAAAAACATCATAAAGAGGACTTAAGCAAACAGCAGCGTCGTAATGCAAAGGCGCATGTATATGATACATCATACCTTACAGATGTGACTACATATGCCCCGAATTTACGTATGCGGCAGCAACACAAACCAAATAAATATTTAAAAAACAGACATACACACACACACACACAGACACATATGAACGATTGTTTCATGTGTGACGCCCCAAGTGTATTCAGAAAAATGTTCCTGTCCGTTTCCATTGCTAAATTTGAGAAAGGCCGTTCGATAGATGAATAGAGGCGGCATGTGCACAGACACATACAAAAAAAAAAAAAAACTCCCACACCACGCAAAAAACTTCCCCTTCATCCATCACCTACAGTTTCCTTGCTCAATAGTTCCACCATCTAATCGGGATTGTGTCCTTCTGAAATTCCCCCTTGGAGTTCACACAAATGTAAGTACGCCTTGTTGCCGACGTAAGCGAATACGCTGCGCAAAGGCATCCCAGACCGCAAAATGCACACAATGCATACACGTGATTCAGGGAATTCTGCATGGTCCGTTGTCCACGTGCAAAAGTGTTTTCCTCATGCCCCATTGGTTCTTTAATCAGCTGATGCCCAAATCGGCGGCAGGAACGACGAAACATGGCTCGCACAATTTCTCCCTAATCCTATTTTCTCTTTTCGTATCGCTTCGTTTTTCCCTTTTTTTTTTTTTTCCTTCAATAATTGAAAAAAATATATAATAATAATAATAATAATAATAATAATAATTTCAGCAATCTCAAACAACAAAAAACAACAACAACAGCGGCAATAAATTTCGAGAGAAATGTGTCAGTTGGCCTCTCCTTCGCTTCACTTCGCTAAGACAAAGACGGTTGAAAACCAGAAGGGGGAAAAAAAAAAAAAATATATCAGATGGAGAAAAGGAGGAGGACAATATAAAAAAAAAAAAAGAACTAAGAGAGAGAGAGAGAGAGAGAGAGAAAGATCTAATCCCCATCAAAATCAGTCGTTTTTTTTTTTTTTTTCTTTCCTTTTTTTTTCTTTTTTTTTTTTTTTTTATAAATTATTATTCAAAATCCTCCTCAAAGTTAAATCTTCTTCTTATT